CGTTGAGCTGGTGTACGGCCTCCGTATAGTCGCGCGCAGACACACGTGGGAGGGCGAGCGGGGTGAGCAGGTGCAGGTCATATGTGGGGTGGGGTGGCGAGAGCGCCTCTGCCGACGGGACGGCCAATGCCGGTCCCACATAGATGTCATCCGCCTTGTGTGTCCGCTCGGCGAGGCGCAGCCCTTGCTTGAGATGGTCGGCGGCCGCCTTCTCACTCGCCAATTGGAGTCTCACGCCATTGTGTAGGTGAAGGCCGTAACCAATTTTCATGCGGGTGTGCAGCTCGGTGGCCAGGTCGCCGTTGGAGAAGTGGATGATGACGTCCCGCGAGCGGGACCCCACTGCGAAACACGCGAAGCTGCGCGTGTCGAAGGGGGGGAGGGAGGGGGCAGCAGACGCGAGAACGCCAGAGATGTGCTTCTGGAGCTGATAAGAGGTGAGGCGGGGCGCGCCGGCTGCAGCACGTTCTTGATGCGGAGCCTTCCTTGGACGGCCTTGCGCTCGATGGCATCCAGGCGGTTGTCCTGGTGGATGGCCACTTTGGTGAGGTTGACGACCGCTTGAGTGACGCCGTAGGCGCAAATGCATCTGCTAGCTAGAACCCTAGCTCGGGCAAGCTAAGCACTCGCTGGTTCGTCCTTGCTTCCTGACATCTACCCTGGATTCTGCAATGAAGCTGAGCAGAGTCATCCTTCCACTCCTTCTCACCACGTCTGTTCTCCTCACCATCGCGGCATTCGTTCCGCAGGCTCTTCCGTCGCAGTCCCTCACGTCGGTCCTTCAGCGGCAAAAGGCTCCGCGGACTCTGCTGGGCGCAGCAACAGCCGGGGAAGGGACCCCTCAGCCCCCGAAGGAGGTTACACTGCTTAAAGACCTGAGGAATCTTCGCGACCTCAAAGTCGTCGACATGCACCAGCATTTTGGATCCTTTGAAGACATGGGTGAATTGGGAAAAAAGCATCTCACGGAGGAGATACCTGTGCTGCCTGACTTCCTGAAGAAGTTCCTGCTCAAGACCTCGTCAAAGTTCACTGCTGCGCCCTACGGCTCTTTCTTGGGAATGAAGCAGCAGAATGGGTTTGCGAGGATCGATGTCGGCGTTATGCTGTCGGTCTACGCCCCTAAGACTTGGGGCATCGCCTCCCAGGAGAGCCTCATCAAGCACCTCGAGGACCCCCGCAACATCCGCGATGGCCATCCACAGTTCGTCGGGTTCTCAGGCGTCAACATGACCGACTGGGATAACAGCAAAGAAATCGCCATTGCGAATCTGTCGAAGACACTCGAGCACCCGTTGGTTGTGGGGATCAAACTCGCATTCATCCACAACAACTTCGCGCTCGACGATCGGAGATACGACCCGATTTATCAGACAGCGGCGAAGTACGGAGTCCCCGTATACCATCACATCGGGTCGACCCCACTGCAGAAGCTCAGTGACAAGACTGAAGCCGAACGGGAGAAGTTCCGGCGCACCTATCTCGTCGAGTTTCTGGAGCCAGCAATCCAGCGGTACCAGAATGTCACATTTATCCTCGGCCACATGGGCTTCGACTTCAACGATGAAGGCGATGACAGACTTCCAGAGGTCATCGAGATGGCGGAGAGATACCCCAATGTGCTGCTCGAGATTTCAGCATTTGGGAGCTGTAAATTTGATCAATGCGGCAGCTATCTTGACTGGGTCTTCCAGAAGGTGAAGCAGAAGGGCGTGCTTGACCGCGTGGTATATGGAAGCGACATGTCTGGCCTGCCCCTCGTTTACGCCCTCTACAAACGGGGGGTCATCAAAAGTATGAAGCGCGTCAATTACACTGTGGCGGAGGCGGAGCAGGTCATGTCTAAGAATCTGATCAGGCATTTCAAAATAGATCCCCTGAAGCCGTTTCCGCACAAAGAGACCTGAAAGGGGCAGCGGGGGTCTCATCACTGCTGCAACGCGGAGAGTGTTTCTGGCTTCGTGTGTGGGCGTGCCTGTGTTTGTGTGCCTCGAGTCTGAGTTTGTTTGCGTCGACTGTGATGATGAATGGCTGTGTCGGAGAAAAAAACACATCAGCAGGAGGATTTCTGTGGAGGGTTGAGGGAGTATTTTTCCCAGATTGTGCAGTCTCTCTCTCTCTCTGTGTGTGTGTGTATGTGTATGTGTAAGTGCCTCGAGTCTGAGTGCCTCGAGTTTGAGTCGTCGGTGTTGACTGTGACGATGAAGGGTTGTGTCGCTTTGTTGCGCGAAGGCATGCTGCAGCCCTCTCCGTACGTGGGCCTGGGATTGCTGGTGGCTGGCGAGTTGAGAACAGATAGGGAGTGAGAGAGTGAGTAAGTGGAGTTTGGAGGTTGTCGAGGTGTCACGGGTTCTTAAGGGTTTGGAGGAACATACAGACTGGAAGAGCCAGAAAGGCACAGCATTTTTTCCTTGTAGTGGGGGCGAGAGCAGTGTGCGGGAGAGTGAGAACGAGAGTGAACGTGAGGTGGTTTCATGTGCGCATGCGCGCACAGATTGTGTTCCAGGTGCGTGCTATTTTTGGAACCGGCTCATTACCATCTTTACTGACACCCAACTGTCAGGTTCTTCATTGGGTGCTTTTCTGTAATGGATTTTTGCAGCATCGAGGGCTGAGGAGGTGGGATTGCATGCCTGCATGCATGGATGTGCTTGCCTTAGAGATGTCACTGAAGTTTGGTACAGCTTTGACGATAAGATAGAGTTGTTACAGGCGCTCAAGAGCGAACCTTTGTCTGCATGACTGTCTCCCGGACAATCGCTTCGACTGGCTTCTCCTCTTAAAAGAGCTTGCACAGGGGGTTCGGCACATTGCGGTGGAGCTGCCCGTTGCGCCGCCAGCGAGGCGGCGCTCACCCCACGAGCAGCATCTTCTTCTTGTGGGCTCTTTAAGAACATCCCGTGGCACCACAAACAGAGCAACCCACACCTGCAGCGTCCACCTGTGAGGCCCGGAGGAGGGGTGCACCCTCTCACCGGCAGACAGACGTGTCTACCCGTCTACCTGCGTTGGATATTTCTGTGTATGTGTCATCAAGATTTTCCTGAACCACGCCACATTGGTGAGAGCGAAAGGCTTAGCCCCTCACGGGACGAGTGGTTGTATGTGGTACATGCATGTATGTGTGTCTGCATGTAGATGAGCGGGTTGGCTCCCATTGTGTTGGACAACGAGCGTGGCCGGAGTGGCTCACCTTCGCCTCCTCGATCTCCTTCTCGTGGGACGGTGGGATGCCCCACCTCACACAGCCCTGGACCGCCTCATACTGCAGCCCTACGTCGGACAACTCGCCGTGCTATGGAGGCACGCCGTGTGGCCCGTCATACCTCTCATCTACTTCATTGTCGTCCCCGTCATTGGTCAGTGGAAGACGTACACACAGCGCCCCTCATACAGGTGACACTGTATGTATACATGCATGTTGCGGCCCTTTCCTATGACTGACATGCATTCCCTGTGTATGCATGCACGGTGTCTATGTTCTGGGCTCTACACTTAAGCTTCGGCATGCATGCTCAGTAGCTTAGCGTCCACTGGGAAAGCGTCATTAGACGGTATAGAGAACGCAGGAAGGGACTTTTTCTAAGGAAGAAACACGCTGGAAGATGAGGAGTGGAAATGGAGCGAAGGGTGTCAAAACTGAGCTGACCGCTGCAGCTGTGATATGAGGCACTGATATCGAGTTTTTGGCAGGTCTAGAATGTGGCCGTCTCGCTTTCAGTGGAGACAAGAGAGCGCCGATTTTTTCAGGTTAAGTCAATTCTAGCCGACTGATTCGTTAATAAGCATCGCACGTTCAAACCACCGCCCCATCTCCTCTCTCTCTCACTCTAGGTCCCCAGACTGCCACAATGCCTCAAACTCTTCCCGCACGCTCTCGCATTAAGCAGCTGCTGCTGCCTGCTGGAGGGAGGTTGGAGTACAAATACAGCATCTGCAAGGGCGATGGGAGCGACATGTGGGAGCCTTTCACTGGTAGGCATAAAATGGACAAGCACGGGTACATAGGTCGTTTCTGCATGTGTATGTTCGTATCAGGTAATCACGATGTGATGTCCTTACCGAAGGGACACTTCATGAAATTGACGAATTCAGTGTAAGAGATGAGCAGTATGCACACACGTCTTGTCTCCCCATGCGTACCTTGATTTGGTCGAATCCTCTCGCAAGCTCCGGTGCGGGTCCACATGGTCCTCACTCTTCTCATCGCAGCCGAGCGCACTGAGGTCTTCTCATCATAGCATGCAATCAACCTAATGACAGACAACAAATGCTCACATACACACATCCTTACTTGCCAGGGATAGAATCCGGAGCTTTTCATGCTACAGAATAAGGCCATTGAGGACCTCACGATTCGAAGGTAAAGGCATCCTTAGTCCTCTCCTTTGTGCATTTGTTCTTATGTCTCTGTGTCCTCAGACTTAAAGTTGAGGCATTTCTCTGGAAGGCTGCAGAGAAGGTACATCACGCTGCATCAGACGGATAGCACCGATAGATCTGGTGTCGTGTGTATTGACTTGCAGCAGCTTGAAGCTGAAGTGGCCTTACTGGACACCGACACCGGCTCATACCTAAAACGGAGGGCCATGTTGCGCCGAAAACGTGGCTAACGACATAAGGAAACTCTAGAGAGAGAAGAGATAAGAACAGCAGGCATTCATTGGCTGTCTCTGCTCATCTCCTTGTTCGACCTCGCTCAAATGCCCGGTGTGCAACGCTGGTCCGTAAGAGGAGTCAATTGATGAGCTCTAAGACTACGCCAAAGAGAGCAAAAGGGAATGGGCAGCAAAAGCTTAGCTCTATACCACACAGAACGGAGAACTCGCAGGAGAGGTAAACAAGACGGCATAGAAGCGATATATGAATGTACGTATGTCTCTCTCTCTGCAGGTAGTGCTTCAGATAGACATGTTGTGCCCTGCAAAAAAAGGTCCACTGGGCTTCGGAGGTGAACGAACAAGCTCTAAGCGGATCCTTCACGGGTGGACGCTTGGCTGAGCAAGTTTCTCTCTCTTGCTATAGATAGATGTCTCTTTATCCGCTGCCCATGCGTCGGCGCGTGTGGTAGTACCTGTATGGTGGAGCGCTGCGGACATCAAGAAACGACCATGCTCTCGTGGTGATCAAAGTCATACATAGGCGATCTAAGGCCCGAGGGCTCACCTGCGTACGCCTGCGCGTGTGTAGGGAGGCGTGGATTCCCAAGCACCTATCGTCTATCGATCTGCCTCTCGATAGAGGACAAGAGAGATGCCCACAAACTCTTGGCCTCTGCTCCTGAAACCCTCTCCGCACCCTTTGCGATTGAGAGTGCAACTCTTCAGATGGCTCTACATATCCAATCTGGTGTAAGAAGACGGAAAGAAGTACACAAAATGACTTGTCGTCATGTGTCCTCTTCGTCTGTGCGCGTTTATGTGTCAGGGAGTAATGTGTGTATATGATGAATGTCTCTATATCCACCACTACGCTGCACTTGGCAGCTTCGGAGAATCAGCTTGCCGTCGCCAGGCAGCTGCTTGAATATGGCGGCCCTGATTTACTAGAGGAGAAGAACAATGATGTAAGTCAGCAGCCGATCGATGATCGGCTCGCTCATGTTTTTCGTCTTGTGATGTCGGTTCCATCAGGGCCGGACGCCACTCGATCTTGCGAAAACTGACGAAATGCGTACACTGCTGAAAGGCTACAGATAGCCAGTCTGTCTGAAACCTGTCTATCGATCGGATTTGCAGCCGAATCTGTATTGCCTGAAAGAATTGCTCTGCTTTATTGCGCAGAAGGGAATGAATAAGTGATGAACAGAGAGCCAGGTAAATTCACCTGTGGCAGTGCCTTTCCTTTGAAAGCATCAATTGGCAGCAGGCGAGAATCACTCGGATGACTGGACGAATGCAGCAATGAAAGCAATTATAAGTGTATGCTCGGCATCCTCGTGTGGTTTCGAGCCCTGCGTCGCATCGGTCCCTCATACGGCTATCACCCAGAGACCGCCAAGTCCTTCCTCGTCGTCAAACCCGAGCTCGAGCAGATCGCAAGGGAACTCTTCGAGCCCGAGGGGGTGCAGATCGTCACGGGCAAGAGGTTCCTGGGCGGCTACGTGGGCGATGAGGGGGGAAGGGCGGCGTTCCTCTGCGAGAAGGTCGAGGGGTGGGTGCGCGGCGTGCGCGCGCTCACGTCTGCTGCCCGCAACTTCCCACACACGGCCCACGCGGCAATGACGAGGTCTCTGCAGATGGAGTGGGACTACGTCTTTCGTGTCGTGCTCACCGACGAGTGCGCTCTCAGCCCCCTCCGCGAGGCCATCGCCAAGGAGCTGCTGCCGGCCCTCCTCGGCGGCCCTGTGACGCCGTCCGAGGTCGACCTGATGCTGCTGCCTGCCCGGCATGGCGGCACCGGCATACGTGACCCTCTCGACCGTGCCGCAGCCGCCTACCCCGCTTCCCGCGCGAGCACCAAGGTGGTCTCCAAGTCCGTCCAAGGCAAGGCTCCGTTCCACCCTGGCGACCATCGTGCCACCATCCGCCACGCCCTCACCCGGAGCAAGCAGCAGCAGGACGTCGCCCACAAGACCAAGAGGGAGGCCGCCCTGCCGCACATCGACCGCCGGCGCCATCGCGTCC